ATCAATGACAAAGAAAGAATTATTAAATGTAATTCATACATTGATTGGTTCCTTGAATGAAAATAATCGGCCACAGTTTAAAAACTTATCATCAAAAAAAAAAGATAATTTATTACTAATTCTGCAACAAGTCAAAGATCTCAATGATGATGTTGATGAATCAGAGGGAACTATTTTAACAGAAACTAACATTAAATGAATTAAGAGATAAGTAAAAAAATATATTTTAATTATTTATTTACAGCCAAACTTTGTTTATAAGAAAATTGCATCTAACAAAACCCGTTATTAATCACGTTTCACGAATTTTATATTATGTGTTTAAAAATTTGTTAATTATAATTCATTGTAACGCCAATTTTATAGTTCGTTTCATTATAACGCGAATTTATAATTCGTTGAAACAAGTTTCATTGTAATGCGAATTTATAATTCGTTGAAACAAGTTTCATTGTAACGCGAATTTATAATTCGTTGAAGCAAAGGTTTGACTATATTCATTTTTTTTTAATTTATTGCAGTTTTTTACCAACTACAGTTTCTCTCTCTATAATGGATCTTTCTATAACAGACTGATAACAATTTTATATGTCCCATATTAATATATATATATATATATATAAATCATCACTGTCTATAATGGATTCTTTCTATAATAAACATTTTTTTCATAAGCCAAATGGCCTGTTATAAAGAGAGTGAATAATAATAATAATAATAATAAACTTTAGTATATTTTACAGTTCATGATTGATACAAAATAATAATTATTGAGAATCTTCATTCCACGACAATTCTAGAACGTCGATCATTGCAGTATTTAGAATTTCCAAATTTGGTAAAATACTTGACTGAATTAAATAAAAAAAAAATAAATAATAACGTTAAATTCTATGTTGGTGTTACAAAAAAATACGAGGATGGCCATCCCATTTATATGTTTCGAATTTAATGAAATTGACTATTGTTTTGACCTAAGTGATATGATTTTTTTACTCTTTA